CTCAGACTGAAGTCAGTATCAACCACTGTGTTATCATCTGGGGCTTGGGGTCTCCTACCAAGGTTATTCTTGTGATTGACAGAATCTACTCCCTTGTGATTGTGGGATTGAAGTCCCTGTTTCCTCGCTGGCTGTTAGCTAGGAGCACTCTCAGCTTTTGGAGGCTGCCCACATTCTTCCTGTGGCCTCCATATTTAAGCCAGCAATGGCACATCAAATCTTTCTCTGACTTCTGGCTAGGTGCAGTGGCCCACACCTGTAATCCCAGCACTCGGGGAGGCTGAGGTGGGCTGATTACCTATGGTCAGGAGTTCAAGCCCAGGCTTGTCAACATGGTGAAACCCCGTCTCTACTAAAAAATATAAAAATTAGCTGGGTGTGGTGGCATGCAACCTGTAATCCAGCTCTTTGGGAGGCTGAGGCAGAAGAATCGCATGAACCAGGGAGGTAGAGGTTGTAGTGAGCCAAGACTGCATCATTGCACTCCAGACTGAGCAACAGAGCAAGACACTGTCTCAAAAAAAAAAAAAAAAAAAATTCTTCTCTGACTTCTGCTGCTACTGGCAGCCAAAGTAAACTCTGTTTTTAAAGGGTTCACCTGATTGGGTCAGGCCCACTGGAATAACTTCTGTATCTTAAGGTCAACTGAGTTGGGACTTTACGTCTGCAAAATCCCCTCACAGCAGAACCCAGGTTAGTGTTTGGTTGAGTAATCTGGGAATCTTGGGAATCATCTTTGGAATCCTGCCCATCATGGTTTTAGAAAGGCCAGTCTGGCTGTAGTGCAGATAACATATTGGGAGGGACAAGATTGACAGCAAGGGGGATCTATTAAAAGCTGCTGCAATCATCCTGAAAGACACAGGAATGGGCTTTAGATGACCAAGAAATGATTGAGACACAGCATAAAGAATTCTTGCTGACTGATTAGTTGCGGGAGGGAGAAGAGGGAAAGTCAAGGAAGACTCCCAGGTTTTGCCTCGAACAACTGGGTAAGTGATGTTGCCATCCACAGATAAACGGGTTTTGTAGCGGAGGATGATGAATTCTTACTCTTCATGTTGAGTTTGAAAGGAAGACATCCAAATGGATGATAAAAATGGAGGAATCATTGGTTAATGCAGAGGTTCTCCATGGGACTGATTTGGTCCCACAGGGGACAGTTGGCCATGTCTGAAGACATTTTTGGTTGCCGTTAATAGTGGAGGCGTTATCCACATTGAGCAGGTAGAAAGCAGGAGTACTGCTAAAAATCCCACAGCACACTGGACAGCAAAGGTTTACGCAGCCCCAAATGTCAATTGTGCTGAGGTTGGCAAACAAACCCTGAACCAGAGGCCAGAACTGAAAGCCACGGGAGTGAACAAGAGGGCCCAGAATAGAGCCCTGCAGAACTCCAGACTCAGAGCAAGGCAGACAAGCCCAGAGCCCAAGAAGAAGCCAGAGAAGGGGAGGTCAACCAGAAGGACAGTGTCGAAAAGCAGGTAGAGAAAGAAATATTGATTCTAAAAGGTGTCAAGGGCTGCTGCGAGTCAAGCAAAATGAGGAGTAAAAGTGATCATTGGATTTACGATGACCAAGGCCACAGGAGGCTGTGCCTGAGCAGTTTCATCGTCAGGGTGACAGCCGTCTGAGCTGAGTGAAGAGCATGCTCTTGAGAGAGGAGGATGGGGCAGCAGCCACCACATACCAGGCTTCTGAAGATTTGCTACCACAGAGAGAACTGAGATTGTCAAATGCTGAGGCGGAAGAGAAGAGAGAAGAGGAGATCACTGAGTGAGGCCCCTGAGAACAGGGTGAGAACAGAACTAAGGGCACATCGTCTTCCCAGGACCCTGCCAGCGAGTGCCCCCTAAGTGCCGCATCGTAGCTGTGCACTTGAGTCGCAGTCCTGCCCGGGAGAGACTGGCCTGATGATGGAGAAGAAGAGGTGACCCCAGCAATAGGTGCAGATGCAGCTGCAGGTGGGCTTGACAGTTTGAAAGGTCAAAGGCTGGGGAGACTTATCCTCCATGTAGGCAGCAGGGTCACTTTTGAGAATAAAGGAGAAGGAAATGGATCAGAGGCTTAAAGTGAGTTTGGGGAGCTGTTCTGTTTAGACAACTTCAGCAGGACTCTCAGGCAGGGCATAGTCTTTTTCCTTGTTATTTCTCTCCCAAGATTTTTTGTATGTGTCTTGGAAAAAAATCTCATCAAAGATCCATGCAAGACCATTTAAGGGTCAATACATTCCCCCAAAACAATTGCACTCCCTCTACTGAAATTCTTTTTTGAGTCGCGTCTGTTGAAAGAAAAGGAAACGACCACAGTGGAGATAGAAGATGGAAATTGGCCTCAGAGAGCAAAGAAGGGTGAAAAAGATATAGACATATATATATGGCACAAATTTTAATAATTTCTGTAGAGTATAATTGAGGGAAATGACAGAAAGGTTTATTTGATTTTCTTAGAGGTCCTGAAACTCATGAGTGTTGTAGACTTATAGTATTGACAGAAAGAAAGGCTATTCAAATTCAAGAGAATTTGGAAAGAACTGTTATCTTTGAAAAAAAAAATTCCTTTACATTGCAAAAGATGACCCAAGCTATTCTTTAAAATTCAACAGCTCTGATTTTATTCTCACAGTAGTGCAGTTAACTACAGATAAAATTAGTTCTTCCTGTCAAATCGTTGTGTTATTCCACCAAAACAGGTGTCTTCTACATTCGCAGTCTCGGACAATGGAAATCCCTGAGAAGGAGCGGCTGCTTTTGTCCAGCACTTCAGCCGCTAGAAAGCCTGGACGGCAGGGCAGGGTAGAATCCTGTCCTGCGGGTGGTCCTGCCGGTCTGGCTGCAGCTCCCACCTTCTAACTCTCGCCGGGACTATCTGTGTCAAGGCAGAGCTGTGCAGCCTCTGTAATGTTCCATCCTCATCAAACACGGACTCAAAAACTGCGTCCTAATCAGCAGCCGTTTCAAAATTCCAGAACATGTGGCGCCATTGCAGACCCTCTGGCAAGCTCTGGAAGGGTGTTATGGGAGAAAACTGGGTGTCTGTAGGCGCAGAGGTGGGTTTGCACCATAAGGAAATGATCCAAGTCATGCTTGCGACGCATGTGCTGGGGGAAAGACACTTTCTTCAAAAAGTAGTCACCAAAAAGCTTGTCACAGCTACAGAGAACAGCATGGTTTCCACTGAGGGGCACTGGAAATCGCCAAGCAGAGTGGCAGGCGGCACTGGCTGCTCTTCTGGGTGGAAGTAATAGACTGTGCCCACCTGAGAAGCAAGAATAGGTGTGTTCCACCCCGGCACTTCCCGGTGTCCCCGCAATCACCCCTGAAATGATGAGGATAGGAGGGGAGGGCCGCTTCCTAAAAGGTACCTGGGACCCTCACCACTAGCATTCCTTTGACAAAAACTAGAAATCCTTGGGGAAAGGGGAAGGAAACGGGGGCAGAGTCTAACCGAAGAGCCGACCTCAAAGAACAATTTCAGGGCCTTTTTTTCTCTTCACTGCCTCGGGAACTGCCTTCGGTTCACCCACCACTTCTGAACGGGTTTCACTTCTACGGGGAGAGGCCAACGTCCCAACAGAAGGTCTCTCACTTCTTTCTGTCATTTGCTAAATTGCTTTACATAAAATTTGGGACTACAATCTGGGCGGCCTAAGGGCTGCACCACCAGTAAGTCGCTGACTCAAACCCGGCCCTTTAATCCCCAAAAACAAACTCTCTCCTCAATCGACCAGGGGGCCGCAACCAACAAGCCTCCTCCACTGCCAAAAGTCAATTAAGGGCTGGTCCTTTTGTTTTTCAAATGAATTGAAATTAGATCCACAGCCCCGCGTAACGCTGGGGAGGCCGGTTTCCAGGAGGTCAGCTCCAATCCTGCGGGCAGGAATTTCGTGGGGGGATGGGGACGTCTCTTCAACTCTGAGCCTTGAGCACCAGGCCTGCATTTTCGCCTCTTTGGCACAGGTGCCCGACTCGGAGTCCGGAGACGGACGCTCTTCCCAGGTACCCTGCCCAGCGCGGCGCGTCTGCCTGGGTCCTTCCTCCGCCACCCCACAGCGCGGGAGGCCGAGGGCCGGGCAGCGTGCAGTGGAGGTGGCGGGGTGGAGAATCCGGGCTGCAGCAATCCCGGGAGGCCGAAGGACAGGATGGCTGGATTTTCTTGACGCACTGCAGAGACATCCCCGTTTTCCGCTCGCCATCCGACACCCGACACCCTGGAGAGAGCTTTGCCGCCCTCGGCACTAAGCGCCCCAGAGCACTGCGCGGAGAAATCTGGCGGGGCTTCGGATTCCCCGGCTTGGGAAAAGCAATGACTGCCCTAGACAGCTGGGGGGTGGGGTGGGAGGGGTCCGAGACTTCCAGGGTGGAGACCCTCCGCAGGGTAGCGCAACTTCGGCGCATAAGTCAGTCCGCTGCCTTTGCGCGGTGATGGCGCGAGGACCCCGGACGACCCCAGAGCAACTGTCCACGCCCAGCCCCGCGTTCGCCGCGCCACTTCCCTCTGCGGCTCTGGCCTGGAGGCCTACGGGCTTCACTGCGATCTCTCGCGCAGTGTCGTCGCCCTCTACCCCTAGCCCCGAGTCCCGGGTAACAAAGGGGCCCCGGCGAGGCGGGTTTCCTTTGGGCGAGATGTCCCCAGGCGAGCAAAGGGGCCGCGCGTTAGACGGAGCTCTCAAGCCACAGCCCTGGGGTCCCTGGGAAGTCGGAGTGCCGTCCAGGGCAGTCGGGCCTGCGGGGCCCATGAAGCTAGAAGAGGCGGTAGACTTAAGGTCCCTGCAGCCGATACCACAAGCGACTGTGGACTCGGGACGCGTCGCACACGGAGGAAGGGGAAATCAGGGGCGTCCGGTCCGGGACGTGTTGAGATCTGGGCGGGGCGGAAAACTGACACCCGGGCGAGGACCAGGATTTCGCTCTTCCTGGGCTGCCGGGGGAGGGGCTTTCCCCATCACTCTCCACCGGCTCTGGCCTCGATGGCATTTAAAGGGCGGAGAGCTGGGCCGGGCTGGTCGCACCCCGGCTTTGCTGGTGTCCACGCTGGATGGGTCGCCCTTGAGCTTCCGTGCGGTGCCGCCGGCCCAGACCCGGGCGCGGCTGGACATGGCCACTTACTGCGACTACCCGGGCCCCTCTTCTGCCCCGCCCGGCCAGGCCCGGGTCGCCGCACACCCCCCGGGCTATGCGCGTGGTGATCTGGGCATCGCGGGCGAGGGCCCGAGCCTGTGGGTGAACGCGCCCGCGCTCAGCCCCAAATCCTGTGCTTCGGGCCCCGGGACCACGCCGCCCTACGCCGCCCCCGGCTACTGGGCTCCCGGCACGCTCCTCGGCCCCCCGGGCGGCCTGGCGGGAGCCGACCTCGCCTGGCTGAGCCTCTCCGGCCAGCAGGAGCTGCTGAGGCTGGTGCGGCCGCCCTACTCGTACTCGGCGCTCATCGCCATGGCCATCCAGAGCGCGCCGCTGCGGAGGCTGACGCTCAGCCAGATCTACCAGTACGTGGCCGGCAACTTCCCCTTCTACAAGCGCAGCAAGGCGGGCTGGCAGAACTCCATCCGCCACAACCTGTCGCTCAACGACTGCTTCAAGAAGGTGCCCCGCAACGAGGACGACCCAGGTAACAGTGCGCCGCTCGCCCCGTCGGGGATTCGCCGTCTTCCCGCCAGGTCGCGGGCACTCCGGGGGTGGGAGCGACCTTGGACAACCTCACTCCTCCCTGCATGGTGTGGGATACCGGGGAGGGGACGCGGGGGGAGAAGTGGGAGTAACGCTTGGCCATGGACAGGTTCTGAGACAGCAGCAGAGCTCATAGGCCCGCGTTTCCAGTGCAGCGGTCCGGGAGCTGTAAGTCTGTGCGCTCCTTGGAAGGAAGAAGCCGGAGAGCCAGCACGCTGGGTGACCTTGGGAGTTACTCAACTTCCCTGGGCCTCAGTGCCCTACCCGCTAAAATGGGGCAGACAGCGTCTACCCTAAGGGCGGGCAACACAAATGGGTTGCCTCTATGGAAAGCGCTGGTGCCTACTTGGGGGCGCGGCGCCGTCTGCGCTGCTCTTGGCAGAGCGGCTGGCGGAGTCCCACTGTTGACATCTGCAGGCTGTCCTTCCCCTTCGCGGGGTCGGCCTTGCCCAGGGCGCCCCTCCTCCTGCTTTCTGGGTTGCCACCTTCTTCCCAGTCCGGCTGTGGAGGCCCGTCGGATGCAGAGTGCTTGGCAAGGGTTGGGATGGCGGCGAGGCTCAGACCCTCTGCAAGGGCTGGTGTGGCATCTTTCTGAAGCTGACCGCCTCCCTCACACCACGGTCCGTCAAATCTCGAACTTTCTGAACTAGGCTGTTTCTTCTTCTGCAGGTAAAGGCAATTACTGGACCCTGGACCCCAACTGCGAGAAGATGTTTGACAACGGGAACTTCCGAAGGAAGAGAAAGAGGAGAGCGGAAGCCAGCGCAGCCGCGTCCTCGGGAGCCGGGAGCCGGAGAGGGGCCGAGGCACCCTCGCTGGAGCCCCAGGGCGCGGCTTGCGGGGACCTGCAGGCCTCGCCCTCTCCGTCGACACCAGAAGCCGCCACCTGCTTCTCGGGTTTCGCCTCCGCTATGAGCGCTCTGGCTGGCGGCCTTGGCACCTTCCCCGGGGGACTGGCAGGCGACTTTTCTTTCGGGAGGTCGCAGACAACGGTCGCCACCCACGATCCCCAGGCCCTTGGCCCCTCGCCTGGCTTCGCCCCTGGCCACCAGACCGCGGCCGCTGCCTTCCGCGTCAGTCACCTCCTCTACAGCCGGGAAGGGACCGAAGTTTGAAGGGAGGCTGGGGACTAGTCCGGTGCGTGTCCAGAGGTGCTGCGCTCAGGCCTCCGGTTTTCCCTGTGACAGCCCCAGGTGTTGGTGCCAAAGGCCTCAGTGCCATGGGAGGAAGTGCAGAGTCGGGGCGGCCCGGCCAGCAGGGAGCTGGGCTGAGCAGCACCTGGGCCTCAGGGTGGGTGGCCCGTCCGCTGTGCACCTTTCACCCAGGTGAGCTCCAGAGCCTCCCTACTCTTCCTCTAAGCCCAGCCCTCCTGGGTCTCTAGAGCCTGTGCTCTCTAGGGCTGTGCCTTGAAGGGACGATGGGTTGGTGCTCATCTCCACTGTTTCCCAAAGAGGCTGGCTGACCCCAAAGAGCCTGAGAGCAGGTGGGAGGAAGGTGGGCTGCAGGAGCTGTGGGGGCGATTTCTACCTCCGCCCAGCCTGGCCCACCTGGCTCAGGGAGGCTGCTGCAGGGGTGAGGGACAGGACTCAGGAGCAGCCGCGGGTGGGGCCAGGTGGGCCAGGACTCTGCCGGGAGGGGGTCTGAGACTGTTGGGTCCTCTGTAAGGAAGAACTTGCTAATGGTTGGAACTGCCGGTGGCGGGAGGGAGAAGCGCTGTGTGGGGCAGAGAGTGCCCTTGGGGATACCAGCTCCCTTCCCTGATACTCAGCTCTGGTCATTGATGGCCCTGCTCTAGGACAAGGCACCTCCCCAGGACCCTGCCATCCCTGACTACGGGAACGATGCCCAACACCCTGGAGTCCCCCAAGGGTCGGGGTTTTTGCCACCCCACCCACACTCACACTCACATATGCTCATGGGAGGCCACACCTGTCTTGGTCTCCCCTCCAACCCTCTGCCCACAGTTTTGGGCCAAAGCTGACTCTGTGTTCAGAGACCCTGAGCAGCAGCCTCCTGTGTGCATGGAACCCAGGCCACCCAGTTGGTTCTTAGAGATGGTGTCTTTGTGAAAGGCAAGGAACCCCCATCACTGGGAAGAGGAATTTTGGGCTCTGGACTCCTCAGAGGTCCTAAGTGCCTCCCTCAGATGCCCTGTGTCTTTGTAGCATCTGGCACTCCCTGGAGATGGAGATGTTGGTGGAGGCATACTCATCTTCCCTGCGTTTTGGGGGAGGGCTGGAAGAGGGGCCCTCCTAGGAAGAGAGTGGAGAGAGGATATGTACTGTTAATTTGGAGTGGGGCAGGCTGGTTTGGCAACACGAAGCCCCAGCCACGAAGGTTTTCCTAATCTGCCCTCTAGGCCCCTCACTGCCGCTGCCACCAGTCCTGGAAGAGCAGAGCAGGGCTCCAGTCTGTCCGTTAGAGCTGACTCATCATGGCCCTGCCGAAGAATGGTGTGTGTGTGTGTGTGTGTGTGTGTGTGTGTGTGTGTGTGTGTGTGTGTAAAACAGAGAGGGAGGTTGGGGAACATGGAGAGAGCCAGCCAGGGATAACCTGGCCCCTGGTCATGTGTTTCATCAGCAGTGGCTCCTAACTCCACGTGGCATCCCTGCTGCTGCCCACCACAAGCAGGCAGGCAGAGTGCCAGGTGTGTCAAAGGCGATGATGTTGCAGATCCAAACTCACAACCAACCCACAATCTCTCTTGGGGGGACACTCCCCAAATGTAATAAAACTAAAGAAGGCAAGGCAAGGGAAAGAAATTCCTTAGCTTACACATTTTAAAAATTGTCTTTTTGAATCTATTTTAATAGAATAAAATACTAAAAATAAACACCAATATATGTAGCTTGCATGTGTGTGCTATTTCGTATAAGAATTCCACTGCTAGCACCAGTATCCCCATTTTAGAGGCTGAATTTGCAGGAGACTTGGAAAGAATTTTTCCTAATTAAATTTGACAACAGTTGGACAATCGGTGGGGCTTCAAGAAAACTGGCTGATACGTATGGATGTAACCATGGAATGTCATGTCCGCATGACTGCTGCAAGTCGGGGAGCTGCTTCTTTTTTTCCTAACAATGGTTTTTATGTTAAAATTGAGGGGAAAAAAATATAAGATTTTTCAACTTTTGGTTTGTTTGCCCAAAGATCATTTTTTTCCTGTTTGAAAGTTGTTCATCCATTCAAAGCTTTATCCCTTTAATAGGTAACAGTATAATCAAATAGGTAAAAATTTCATGAGCAAGATACTTCCAGCAGTGCAAACTTCCATTTAAGGAAATATCATTATAGTAATTATTAGAACTCTTCAGTGAATCAGAACACTGAAGTTCATCCCCATTTTGCAGATAGAAAGCTAAGTCAAAGGGCTAAATGATCTCTAGAAGCTAAACTGATGAGAGCTAAAAAGGACTCCAGATGCACCTGCAATCTGTACACGGCTCATATTCAGAAATGCTCCTACTGATGCACACACACACATACACGCACAAACACATGCACACACAATCTGGAGCCCCATCTCGGGTAGTATCCTCAAGAGATTACAGATTACAGCACCTACCCTCCATATCTAAGGGCATAGTATGTTCAGATAACCCATTTGCCTTCAGGATTTGACTCCAGGTAGGAGAGAAACATGTGGAACCATCATAGAATGTAATATAGGATGACTCACCTGTATCCTAATAAAATGTGACTTGTCCAATAAATCTCTTTTGACTGTTAACTATGTGGCATTAAGTCATGCAGAGAATAAGCTGAGCCTGTTGCTACCCCCAGAGCTGCCTTCCAGTGGTTGGGACAAAGATGAAGGAGGAATTACAGTCTGGATGTGGCTGTTTGGCTCTAAAAGGATTACTTCATGATCAAGTCATCAACCATCTCACTTGTAAACACAAGTATCATATTGTGTCTTGTACACAGACCACACTGTGTTCCACACCCTGCTAACTCAGGAAGTGTTTGATTTCTCAGTTTCATAACTTCATTGTGATTTCAGGCAGGGAGTAAAGCACTGCCCCGGGCTGGTGCAGGTCCCATCTGCTCACTTTTCCACAGTGTCATTTAGGAACCTTAACTAAAAACCTGTCCTCATATTAGAAGATCTGTCAGCTGTCAGTGACAGGGAAGGCAATTAATGTGACCAGAGCTGGCACTTTCCCAGGGCTTCTAGGTGTTCAGTCCTTTGGAGCATCCCCCATCTCTAGGTTAAAATTTTGAGAACGGATTTTCTTTTAATCTAATTTAAATTTGCTAAGCAACGTTATTTAAGGCTAACTGCTGGGTATCTGCAATAAACTGTTTTCTTTGGTCAGATTTCACCAGTGGCTGAACACAAAGAATTGAAAATATCTTTAGTTTCACCCAGCTCATGGAAGGCAATGAACAGTATATTAAATTGGACCTTCACCCAAAAGCGAAAGAAAGAAAAAAGAAAATTGGAGTTGTGTCCCTGCTGTAATCTAGGGCAAATTAGACCTATGAGTCATTGAGTCTTTCTCTACCCTGAGAGTCACCCATTCATCCATCAGACAGACTGAAGGTCAGGGTAGGTGTCAGGGACTCTGTTTGATGGTTCCTGTGCATATTTCATTAAGCCTTCACAACAATCCAATGATGCCTCATTTTACTTAGGGGGAAATTGAGGCTCAAGCCAGAGAAGTGACTTGTTTCCCAGAGGCCACAGATAATATTGAGATATGTTGGTAGGAGCCTACCTACCCTCTATTCTTGACTTTTCTGCTTTCTGTTTCATCCCTCAGGACTTAGAGAGACCTCCCTTTTCTAGACTCCTTCTGACAATCCAGATCCAAGTCCTGTGCCCTTTGGTGTGCTCCTGGGGCCCCTGGATATATGGCACCACAACCATTGAAGACCGAGTACCTTCCTGCATCTTCTCCTGTGGTTTATGTGGGAAGGGGCCCACCTGCCTTATTCTGCAGTAACATCGCTAGAGCCAGGGAGACTGTGGACAGGTGGTAGCAGTTGACTGACTGACTGAGTGAATGAATAAATGAATGAATGAGTACATGTGTGAGTGAGTACAGTTGCACTCTCAGCTTTTCATAAGCTCTTCTACCCCCGACCCAGTCCCCAGCCTCCTATGATGGGTCGGATTCTTCCTTACCCAGGGCCAGGCCTGCTGCTGGACTCTGCAGATACGACACTGAGTGGGCCACAGCCTAGGGGGCCATTGGTGTTGAATACCCGTGCTGGAGGGCCATGTTCTATGCTGGGGGAATTTGGAATGGGCCTAGAACTGGGGGATAGGAAACTTTAGAGATAGTGTTGACATTGAAGCCAGTAGGGTTTGGTTAATCCATATAAGTTTCACTCTGAGCACGAAAGCAATCATAATAATGTAGATTATATCCTTGAGAATCTAGGTTGACACCCTCGCTGTCACGTGTTGGTGACTGGTCAGACACGTATAGTTTTATCTGAGGAATGATTTGTTATTTGACAATAATGTCCAAGCATTCTCCAAATCACCCTTCCCGTTCCCTGCTGCACTCCCTGGATCTAAACCTCCTCATCCAGAACAGGGCTTAGCTTCCAAGGAGGTAGGAAGAAGTTGAAGTCAAGAATGTGTCAGGCTTGTGTGCTTCTTTCAAAGGGTCAGGCCACAAGCAGACTGAAAGATGGGAGAGGCATCAAAGATACTTGCGAGGGATCATTTTCACTTCCTCCTAGAGGTGTTGAGGAGCCGCCTGTCCCCAGGCCGCTAATCCAGTCTGGCAATCCATCACCTGCACTGAGGCCCCCAGAACTGCATGCACGGGTTGTTCCAATCTGCCTAAGGCACTCATTCGCTTCAGCACCTGAACCAAACAACTCCACCCTCTTTGACTGAATGTCCCTTTGCTAGGCTGAGACCACTTTACTCTGAGAAGCCTAAGGGCAGGTGGGGTTATGGGAAGAAGATGGACTTCTGGAGTGAGTAGAATTAATACTTTAATGAAAGGTTTCTGTTTCAGGATCCTTGAAAAGTATAGCGCTTCATTCTTTATGTTCTTTTTGTAATCCTGAATGGTATAGGACTGCCTCCTTGCTTTATTTATATTGATTACTTTCATTTTTAAAAAATTTTTTCCTTTTTGCTAAAAAGAATAGACCATATTTAATATTTAAATTGGGAGAATTAAAGGCAATGTGGTATATTGTTTAAATCAGGCAACATCTAAGAAAGAAATTGCAAGGGGAAGAAGAGGGAAAACTTTTAAAGAATCATTTGTTATAATTCGTTATGCAGTTCTTAAGAGACACATTGCCCCTAGTCTTTTTTTTCTTTTTTTCTTTTTTGGTTATTCACTATGGCTTTAATTTTTCTACAATGCCCTGGTTAATATATATAATACATGAAATAAAATTTGAGATACAAAAATTTAAGAATTTACAACAATAATACTCTTCTATTAACAAGTTTATTTTGATTATCATTGGTGAGGATATTTTCTTCCTTTTCAGATTTGCAATGTGTAAGGCTGTTAGGATGCATAACCATATCTCTACATTCACTGTAGGAACAAAATTAAAATGAGATTTATAACAGGAAAAAGCCAGTCATTTTCAAGTAACTGGTAAGATGGATGCTTGCACATTCTGACCTGTCAGAAGAGACCCACTCTTGAGCTCAGATTTCACACAGGCTCGTTCATACAGCCCATCAAAGCCCTCTTGATGGCCTAATGGGGCACCCACAGTGAAACAGACTTTTAGCACAGCTGATCGTAGAATGATGAGTCTTTGCTGAGATGTCCAGTTTACCATCCACCAGAGCAGTCTTTCATGAAACCAGATACGGTGTTGTGGCCTTTGAGAAATGGAGACGTTCCACTTAGAGCTGATGTGTTGCGTGCTTTACAAATGTCCTTGCACAATGGACTGAGTGAAATCTCCAAGAC